AAAAACACAATCTCAAAAAACAGACAAACAGTACACTGAGTACAGAGCATGGCTTATAGCTATGCTAAAGAAATCTCGCAATTATGTCAAGAATTAAGTATTTATGTTAAACATGCTTCCATTTTAAGTGGAGAAAGTGTCACATTTATGTATTTAAAAATTAGATTTGTATTTTATGTGAATGAGTGTTTTGCTTGCATATATGTATGTACACCCACCACATGTGTGCCTGGTGCCTATAAAGGTCGGAAGAAGGTGCTGGATTCCTTGGGATTGAAGCTGACAGTTATGGACCACCAAGTAGGTGCTGGGAATCAAACCCAGGTTCTCTGCAAGAACAAGTGCTCTTAATCACTGTGCAGAGGCAAGCCAGCCTGGTTAACACAGTGAGTTCCATGACAGCCAGAGCTACACAGAGACCCTGTCTCAAAAAGTAAAAACAAACAACAAAGAACTTGGGCTTGAGACGTGGCTTGCAAGCTAAAAGCACATATTGTTCCCAGCACCTATGTTGAGTTGCTTCACAACCACCAGCATGCAACTCCAGCTCCAGGGGATCGACACCCTTTTCTGGTCTCCATACCCCCGCCTCCCAAATATAACTTCAAAGTAAGACAATAACCCAATTATTAAAATAGGCAATAGAATATTTTTTAACAAACAGGAAAATACGATGAAGAGTGAAAAGGCAAACGTGCATTAAAACCACACATTCCCTAGAATGGCAAAAATAAGACTGGTTGCAGGAAGTGGTGACAAGGACACACACAGTGGCGGCCTTCTTACACACTACAAGTGGGGTTACAAATGGTGCAACCACTATGGAAAACACAGCTGGCAGTTTCTGAAAAACCGAAATGCACTTAACAAACCAAACTAGCAACTTCAGTAAGTTGAAATTAATCTATTTCCACACAGATGTGTGTAAAAATGTTTATAGGAGTTTTATGTGTAAAAGCCCCAAACTGGGAACAACTCAAATGTCCATCAAAAGTAAAGGATGTGGGAGCTGGAGACATGGTTCAGAAGTTTCACTGCTCTTGCAGAAGATCTGAGTTCAGTTCAGTTCCCAGCACCTACTTCGGGTTGTGTCTCTACCTCCAGGGGATCTGACACCTCTAGCCTCCAAATAGCCTGGCGCCCATTACAAACAAAACAAAACTACATACATACAGCCTGTTTGTTTTCTAAAGAGAAAAGAAGTCATAGAGTTGGATGGATAGAGAGGTGGGGAAGAACTGGGAAGAGATGAGGGAAGGGGAAACCATGATCAGAATGTTATATGAAAAATTATTTTAAAAAAAAATCCAAAACAATCGCTAAATGGTGCAAAGGCACATACCTGTAATACCAGCACTTGAGAGGATCACGGGTTCAAGGAGAGCCTGAGCTTTCCAATCAAACAAGTTGTGGGTGGGAGATGGGAGGGATGGAGGCCGGAGGATTGAGTTTGAGGTCAGCCTGGTCTACATAGTGAGTTCCAAGAAAGCCAGGGCTACACAGAGAGATTTTGACACACACACATTCTCTCTCTCTCTCTGAGACAGGATTTCTCTGTGTAGTTCTGGCTGTCCTGAACTCACAGAGATCCGCCTGCTTCTACCTCCGGAGTATTGGGATTAAAGGCGTGTGCCACCACTGCCACATAAGTAAATAAATAAATAGGAAAGAAAAAGGTAAGTGGAGAAGAAAGAGTGAGAATAATAATCTAAGGTATATCCATCCATGGAACAGATCGAGACGTGCGGGTAACAATGAATCTGAGGAAAACCAGACAGTAAAAAGGTACTTATTTCGAAAAAACCAAAAAAAAAAGGTACTTATTTTCTTTTCCATATGAAATGGAATAATCTATATGAGCTTCTAGGAAAGCTGCTGGTAACCTCTGACAAACAAAAACAAAAACTAGTCTATGATTGCTTGAGGTATACACTGTAAAGGAGGAAGAGATCTTCTGTAGTGATGTGAATGTTTGGTGACTTCACTGTGGTGGTGGATACACAAGCATATATTATACAGGTTCCAAGATTTAACTATATAAAGAAGCATTTCAGCTGGGCGTGGTGGCACACCCCTGTAATCCTTGCACTTGGGAGGCAGAGACAGGAAGATTACTGGGAGCTTGAGGCCAGTCTGGTTTACAGTGAGTTACAGTATAGCCAGAGCTCCATAGATCCTGCCTTAAGAAGTTAAAAAAATCATTTTACTCCCCCCCTTTTTCTTGGTGCTGAGACTTAAATTCAGGACCTCATATATTCTTTTTTTTTTTTTTTTTTTTTTTTTTGGTTTTTTGAGACAGGGTTTCTCTGTGTAGCTTTGCGCCTCTCCTGGGACTCACTTGGTAGTCTAGGCTGGCCTCGAACTCACAGAGATCCGCCTGTCTCTGCCTCCCGAGTGCTGGGATTAAAGGCGTGCGCCACCACCGCCCGGCTAGACCTCATATATTCTTAAGCACAAGCCATACCCTAAACTACACTTCTCTCTTCCCGCCCTGTCCCAAAAGATGCAATTTATTGCATAAAAATTATACTGCAGAGAAGATGTTTAAAAGATTGAGGAAAATGGAGAAAAGGAGCCCAGTAGGTGTGGTAGTTTGTAACTGGCCCTCACAAGCTCGTAGGGAGTGGCATTATTAGATGTGGCTTTGTTGGGAGTTAGACATGGAGAAAGTGTGTCATCGTGGGGCAGGCTTTGAGGTTTCCTATGCTCAAGATACCGCCCAGTGTCACAGTCCATTTCCTGTTGCCTTTTGATCAAGATGTAGCCAGCACCATGTCTGCCTTCACACCAAAATGATGATAATGGACTGAACCTTTGAAACTATAAGCTATCACCTCAATTAAATGTTTTCCTTCTGAGACCTACCGAGATCATGGTGTTCTTCACAGTAATAGAAACCCTAATTAAGACAAGCTGGTAAAGTACATGCCACACAGACATGGCAATCCGAGTTCAGATCCTCAGCACACACACAAGAAGCCAGGTACGGTGGTGTGTGCTAATTATCTCAGTCCTGGGAAGGTGGAGACAGGCAGACTCCTGGGAATGGCAGGCTAGTCATTCTAATCCAACAGTCGAGTCCCAGGTTTCAGGAAGAAATCCTGTTTCAAAAAAAAAAAAAAAAAAAAAAAAGTAGGGGGCTGGAGAGATGGTTCTACAGTTAAGAATGCTTGCTGCTCTTTCAGAGCACCTGAGCATCCATACTAGGTGGCTCATAAACACCTTTATTAAACATCCAGGGGACCAAATACCCAACTTTTGACTACCATGTGCAGCCATATACCTGTGGCATTAACTAATACAGACACAGACATAAAAAACTAATCTTTGAGTGGTGGTGGTATGCACCTTTAATCCCAGCACTTGGGAGGCAGAGGCAGGCAGATCTCTGAGTTCAAGGCCAGCCTGGTCTACAGAGTGAGTTCCAGGACAGCCATGGCCACACAAGAGCAAGATCAAGGACAGGCACCAAAGCTACACAGAGAAACCTTGTCTCAAAAAAACCAAAAACCAAAACCAAAACGAAAAAAAAAAAAACAAAAACCAAAAACCAAAAACCAACCAACAAGAACATGCACCCCTACACACATTGAGCTGTGATATAAAATTAAGGGGCTAGTTTCCTTTACAGTTTGTGGCTGATAATGAAGGCAACTCCAAGGGAAATATTCCCAACAGGTTTCGATTAATGACATTATCTTTAGAACAAATGCCCAGCCTTCCACAATCTCCCTGTGTTTTAGTATAGAATTCCTGATTATGTTTAGCTTTTTTTCTCTATCCTCTCTAGCTATCTGTCATGCAGTCATACCTCACGGCAAAGACTCAGTAATATTTGTCTAAATAAAGTGGTTATGTCAAAGTACCACATACTGTACACAACATTAAGCAACCAAAATGCTACCTATCAACTGTGAATGGATTATTTTTAGAGGAAGCCATTAAGCTGTTCTCTAAGCCTCCCATTTTGGTGAACTTTAATTATATGAACACAAAACTACAGTACTTCATCTCACAGATAAAAATTAACTTGTCTTCAGATGCTAAACAAGTTAGACTGATCCAAATTATTGTTCCAAAAATAAGCAGGTAGATGATAATGACTGCTTTACAAGTATCCCTTACTTTAACTTGGCTCTCTCATAGAGCACTAAGCCACAGCAACTGGATTTTTGTCCTTTTCTTTTCTTTTTAAAGCGAGCTCCAACCATTAAATGAAGAAATGAAAGAATAAAAGCTAGCCTAAAGCCATTTTGGCTCTGAAACCAACAGTAATAAGTACTTTGGATCTACTCAAATGATTAGTGTGTATGCTCCAATACCTGACAGGTACTGTATGTAAAATGTGATGCCATATGTAACCTCTAGAGAAAGGTGCTCTAGAGCCCAGAGCACACACACAAATGTTGATGACTACAGATGCATTTTTCAAGGTCTTCTGGCTTTAAAAATCTTCTACTTTTTTTTTAAGATTTATGCACCAGGCATGGTGATGCATATCTTTAATCCCTACACTTGGGAGACAGAGGCAGGTTTATCTCTGTGAGTTTGAGGTCAGCCCAGTCTATATAGTGAGTTCCAGAAAGCCAGGACTGCACAGTAAAACTCTGTCTCAAACAAAAACACCCCCACACTTGCCAAAAACCAAACAGAAAGATTTATTTACTTATTACTTGTATGTGCATGTGCAGTGTGTATCTTCATGAGCTAATGTGCACAACAAGCATGAAGGAACTCAGAGGCCAGAAGTAGAAACTGGATCTCCTAGAACAAGAATCACAGACAATTTTGAGTCACCATATGGGTGATGGGAACTGATGCTGGGTCCCCTCCTCGAGAACAGCCAGTGCTCTTAACACTAAGCCCCCAAAATCTTGCTATTTATTACATTTTCCAATGTCGTAATTTAAAAAAGAACTAATTTGTCAGAAGAAAGCACAGCATTCCTATCAAAAAATCTGAGTTTTAGTCCTGACCTAGATACTGCTAAGTTACAAAATAAGAAAACCCTGCCCACACACTAAAACTGGAACAATACAGGGAATATCAGCACGGTACCTGCACAAAGATGACATACAAGCTCAGGAAGCCACCCAATCTGTGACAGCTATTCTTGTCAACCTGACCACATCTGGAACTAACACCCATGTGGCTGGGCACACCTGGGAGGGATGAATTCCCACCTTTGATCTGGGTCACACCTTCTGCTGGCAGCATACATAAGGACATGGAGGAAGGAAGCTTGTTCTCCTTTTCACTGGCAGTCCATCCTTTCACTGCATTAGGGCCTCCAGCCCCAGGAGGATGGGAACACCTATTGGATTCTTAGAGCCAGCCACTGTTGGGACAGTCGGATCACAACCTGTAAGCCATTCTAATAAATCCCATGTGCATGAGAGTGAGAGAGAGAGTGAGAGACAGAGACTGATTTTCATTCAATCAGTTTTCTTTCTCTAGAGAACCCTAACTAATACACCACCTAAATGCCCATGCACTGGACAGAAGCTAAATACATTACTGTGAATTCACATGTGGCGTATCCTGCAGCTGGCAAATAAATGAGGAAGACAGGTGTGGGGGTCCATGTTTCTAATTCTAAGAGTTGGGAGGTAGAGGCAAAAGGATCAATTACTTAGCAGTTTGAGGCTAGCCTGGGCTACATAGTGATACCATGTCTCAAAAACAAAAAACAGAAAAGAATCTGAACAGTAAGTGACAGAACTGGATCACAGTCTGTAGACTAAAACAGGGCAGACAGACAAACACAGATAGTGAGGAGCCACACTGTGAGAGGATTACAGACAAGGGGGAAATCGGACACTGTGCAGTGTTAGCACCTGAGTGCTGGGATCAAAGGTGTGTACCACCATACCTAGCTGTAATAGTTCTTAATGAAGCTTGCTTCTACTTTGTATCTTTTCATAATAATTAAATAGAGATTAATACCCTATTTCTTTCCTCCTCCTCCTCCTCCTCCTCCTCCTCCTCCTCCTCCTCTTCTTCTTCTTTCCTGAGACAGAGTTTCTCTGTGTAGCTTTGTGCCTTTCCTGGAACTCACTCTGTAGTCCAGGCTGGCCTTGAACTCAGAGATCCGCCTGGCTCTGCCTCTCGAGTGCTGGGATTAAAGGTGTGCGCCACCAACGCCTGGCTTAATACCCTATTTCTAATGGATAAATGGCCCAATTATTTGAATATGGTCCAAATACTAGATAAAAACATAAAACTTAGTAAAGCTTTACAAATAAGTAATTCCCCACTAAGGCAATCCTAACTACCTGATCCTATCAAACTCTTAAAAAAAAAAAAAAAAAAAAGGCTCATATACATATAATCTCCTAGGCTGGTCTCAACTTCTACAAGCCAAGGATGTCTTGAACTTCTAATCCTCCTGCCTTGACATCTTGAGCGTAGGAATTACAGGTGTGCAGCATGGTGTCCAGTTTACACAATGTGAACCTGGTGCTTTGTACATTCAGGGTAAGCACTCTACCAACCCAGCTCTGTCCTCAGACATTTATTTCTTTTTTTTGTTTTTTTGTTTTTTGTTTTTTTTTTTTAAAGATTTATTTATTTATTATGTATACAGCATGTATGACTGCAGGCCAGAAGAGGGCACTAGATCTCATTACAAGTGGTTGTGAGCCACCATGTGGTTGCTGGGAATTGAACTCAGGACCTCTGGAAGAGCAGTCAGTGCTCTTAACCTCTGAGCCATCTCTGCAGCCCTCAGACATTTATTTCAAAGTAAAAGAAAACCTATCAAGGGGGAATAAGGAAGCACAGATACTACTGAAAGGTTTAAGCACCATAAATGCAAACCGTTCCTATATGTAGGGCAATCTAGTCACACACTACAAACACTTTTTTATTTGACCTGGACATTCCGTTTCAGAGCAGACTCAGGGAGAGATGTTGTACTAAGAAACGTTTATAACTGCATCATTTAAAAGTATCCAAGCAGTCGGGCATAGCATCTGACACCTTTAATCCTAGCACTGAGAGGCAGAGGCAGGAGGATCTCTGAGTTGGAGGCCGGGCTGGTCTACAGAGCGAGTTCTAGGACAGCCAGGGATTCACAGAGAGACCCTGTCTCAGAAAAACCAAAACAAAACAAAACAAAACAAAAAAAAAAGTGGAGCAACAGGAAGTCAAACAAATGAGGGGCAGTCAATTTATTTTAAATAAAATTTAACTTTAGGTTGCGGGTACATGTCACAGGTAACTCGTAGATATATGAAAGTTAGTAGCACACAATCATATAGTGTAAGCAGTACACAGGGTGAAAAACAACAACAAAAATAAAATACAAACCAACCAACCAACCAACCAAGGGGCTAGTTAAGACGGCTCAGCGGACAAAGGCGCTCGCTGGCAAACCAAGCCTGAAGACCTGAGTTCAATCCCAGGGACCCACATGGTAGAAGAAGAGAAGAGTATCCCAAGTTCTACCTTCACTTCCCATCCCACAGGGTGAGTAAATAAAGAAAATCAACACCAACAATTAGATAAAGTAAAAACTAAATGGACTAAGTAAAATAAAAACAAGTAAACAAACTTAACACCACCAGCCTAACCATACTGAGATCAGTTACTTCAGCCTGAAGTGAGAAGGGAAAACAATAAACAGGAACCTAAAGAAGAGAGGAGTTGAAGCAATAACTGCCTTAGACTGCAGCGCTATCAGCACTGTGCGCAACAGGACAGCGCTGTGCGACACAGCGGCACCCAATGAATGAAGCTGGGTATGGTGGCCTAGGCCTTTAATCCATCACTCTAGGAGGTAGAGACAGGTGGTTCTCTACTGAGTTCAAGGCCAGCCTGGCCTACATGGTGAACTGCAAGACCAGACAAGGCTGTAATAGTGAGACCATGCCTTAAAAAACAAAAAAAGCAAGCACAACAATCAGCCAGGTTGATGGCTGTTGTGTAGCAGTTTCCTTGAGATTGTAACCCTGCATCCTGTAGGGAAGCTCCTTGGACAGGAAGGGAAACAACTCAAGGGAACTTCAGGAAGTCACTGAAACTGACCAGATTCACCAGGCCCCTCCTCGCCAGAATAAGAAATAAAAGATGAGTGTGGGGGTTGGGTATTTAGCTCAGTGGTAGAGCACTTGCCTAGCAAGCTCAAGGCCCTGGGTTCAGTCCTCAGCTCTGAAAAAAAAAGAGAGAGAGAGAGAGAGAGAGAGAGTCCTTGTGAGGCTAGTGAACAGATCTGCAAAGAAAACTGAGACAAGATCAGCTGCCTGGAAGACACAGAAACTTGCCAGATACCTAGAAGACATTAGACCAGCTGAGGCACCTGGTCTCCAACCTGATTGAGCTGCCTGCAGGCTGTCCAGTATGCTCCAGGTTCCTAGGTTTGTGAACTGTCACCTGTATTGGAGTGGACTTTGGTGCTGCAGCTGTCTTTGAGTCATTCCTGCTCCTGTAAGCAACCCCTCACCCATATTCCTGTAAGTAGCCCCAATAGAACTCATTGGTTCACCTAGTTGGATTTCTGAGGTGAGTAGATGTGTATCTTTCATCTCCTCAGGAAAAGTTTTGTCATACAATGGTGGCCCATTCCTATAATCCCAGCAATCTTGGCAGTGGAAGTAGTTCAAGGTCATCCTAAGCTAGCCTGAGCTATATATGATGCCCTGTCTCAACATAACCCTCACCTACCCCTCCAACCAACCAAAACTACCCATAAAGGGTCACAGACTTTGAAAAGAACAGAGGTATCTCATGGAAAGATGTGGAGGCAACTTTTTATAAAGGAAATTGCTTTTATCATAAAATGCTCCAGGAAAGAGAGAGGGAGAGAGAGAGAGAGAGAGAGAGAGAGAGAGAGAGAGAGAGAGAGAGAGAGAGAGAAAGGGAGGTTTGCCTTAGATAGAGGAAAAAGGAGTTAAGAAAAAATACCCACTCAAAAAGATCAAAATGGAGACAGACTGTAAGGGAGCGTGCATGGTTCAACTGAGAATGGGTGGTGTTGGTGGAGACATGTTGTTACAGCAAGAATCAAGTTCAGGTGGAACAGTACAGATCATCCCTGAGAGATGACAATAGGTAGGATCTGGGAAAGTTCAAGACTAGATCAACAGGCTGGAAGGATGGTTCAGTGTTTAAGAGTACTAAATGTTCTTCCAGAGAACTCAGGCTGGACTCCCAGCACTCACATGGTGCCTCACAACTATCTGTAACCCCAGTCTCAGGGGATCTGACACTGTCTCACCTCTAAGGGTACTGCACATATATGGTACACAGACATATATGCAGGTAAAACACCCATAAACATAAAAGTCAAATGAAAAAATTAGGAAACTATTTTACTACACAGGTAATGTGTACTAAAAGGTCATTTTCATACAAGGGTATGTTTTATGATGTTAAGCAAACCCAGTGCCCCACACCCTACCCTCTGCCTCCTCCTTCCTTCCCCTTCCCACTGGTCATGTTTCCCTTCTCCAGACAGTTCTGCTTTGCTTCTACTTTCATGTCAATATACAATGCATGATGGATGGCCTGCAGAAAATTAAGAACCACAAATGATTAAAAAAAAAAACTCATTTGGGAATGGCTTAATTTGCTTAATGATTATCTCCAGTTGCATTTAAAAGGGAATTCTGACACAGGCTACAGCATGCATAACTAAATGAGGCGATTAAGACAAAGAAAAATGAAGTAAATCAGTCATAAGAAGCCAAATTCATATAAAGCAGAATGATAATTGCCAGGGACTAAAGAAAGGGAGGAATGGAGAGTAGTGTTTTAATGGGTATATGGTTTCAGCTTTGCAAAAGGAAGAAAATCCTGGAAGAAACATACTCAAATTACTGAACAATATACTTAATAGTTAAGATGCCAAGACAATCGGTTTTTTTTAAAGATTTATTATTTTATTATGTGTATCCATGTACCATATTTCAGAAGGAATGCTTGTAGTATTAACACAACTCCATGCAGTTAAAAGGGAGGTTTATTTTGTGGGGTAACTTACAAGAAAAGGGATAGGTTACAGGGTCCGGGAAAGGTGTAGCACAGTCCAGCAGTGTTCTCTGGAAAACTCTGCTCGGGCTACTTCCAGCTTCCAGAATCCAGGAACCAAGAGAGCTGGCACA